TTTAAAAGGTTTTCATCTCTGCTCCCCACCCAGTACCTCCCAACTTTATTCTGTAACACAACTCTTTACAAAACATGAAAACTACACATTTTCAGGCAGGTTATCCTCATCCATTTGGATTTAACTTCTTTTATCTTGTTTTCTTTACTACTACTGGATTATTCACCCATCCATCCACCCACCCACCCACCCATCTATCCATCTGCTTACCCACCCATCTATCCACCCACCCATCCACTGTCCATTCATCCATCCATTCACCCATCCAGTCATCCATCCACCCACCCACTTGGCACCTTCTCTCCTTTCTTCCTACCCTTCCTTTCCTCCTTTGTCCCAATATACATCCGTGTACTTTTCCAATCTTCTGCAGTTTGTTGCACAACTGTTCCCTCTTCTTTTCACCTCCCTAGTGATAAAGACTCTCTCCTAGTTCACTGGTTGTTCGGTTAAGGCCTTTTGTCAGATGAGTCGCGTGGCTGATATTTGTCTCCCATCCTCTGTTCTCTGCTCAACTGTCACCTTCTCAGAGTTCATTTCTAACTGCCCATCATCAACCTCTATCTTCTTCCCTCCTTGACTTTTCTTCATGCGCTTAGCACTTCCTGACATTTCTTCTATGTTTATTACTTATTTGTTTATTTTCTGTGTCTTCCCCACAAGAATGTTAAACTCATCAAGGGCAGATACTTTATTTTATTGGCTTTTAAAACATCTCCAGTGCTTGGGACCGTGCCTGGACTATAGCGATACTCAACAAATAGTTGCCAAGTGAATTGCATCTTCATATCTTTAAATATCCTTCTGCCCTGACACGTGGGTGACGTCTTGGCTGGGAACAGGGTTCTTGAGCAGCAGCCTCTTCCTTGCAGTAGCTCTGGCTGCTCTTCCCCTGGCTTCTGGTTTCCTGTACTGCTGATGAGAAGTCTGGTGCCAGTTAGCCCTCCCTCTGTATTTTGTGCATACCCAAATTTATGACAATATTGTACATATATATTTTTGTTTCTCCCGCAATCTTATTTGTTTACGTTTGAGGCTCATTCATAATGTCTCATTCATAATAGGAGTTCCCCAAACTATTTGTTGTATACATAGATGGGTGGATGAAGAAAGGAAGGACTTGAAGGGTGTGAATGGTATACGATGTACTTATCACAGCCCTTGAAATGTCAGTGGCAGAGATGTTCTAGATCAGTGGTTCTCAAGGTGGAGTCCCAGACCAACAGTAGCAGCACTGCCTGGGAACTTGTTAGGGATGCAAATTTTGGGACCCCACCCCAGCCCTGTTTGGAAACTGCTGGGGAGCCCAGCACTCTGTCCTAGCAAGACCTCAAGGTGATTCTGATGCCTGTTGAAGTTTGAGAACCACTGCCGTGGACCAATCTCATTTTATAGATGGGGAAACTGAGGCTAGGAAAAGGGAAGCGACTTATCTGAGCCCACGCACGCCATCAGGGGCACAGCCAGGACCAGTGCCCAGGTTCCCGGAGCTCTAGCCTGTGCTCTGGCGGTGCTACCCAGGCTGCCTTGCCTCATCTCGCTACTTTTTTTTGTGATCTAAATGAACCATTCATTTTTCAAACCATTTCAAAGCACTAGGGTTGAATCTCCCATCTTACAACGTTTCTGATTTCACTGGGTGCTTTCCAGGATTTAAAAAGATGTGACTCAGTTGTTTCTATAAGACTTTGAGCAATGGAAATGCGCCAGGCGATTGTGTTACTTTTCCCTGGAGGCTCCTTGGGCTGGAGTTGTAATGCTATCGCTCACTGGTAGGGCTCATGCCCTTCTGTCTCTTGCCATACTGCGTGTCTCACACTGTCTGATTTCCTCCCCTTCGTGGGAGAGGACGTGTGAATGGCGGGCAGTGTTGGCCCAGAAGATGGATCAGGAACTTTGATGTTGATGAAAGCCCCACGATCACTATGTTTTTCTTCCTTATTTCCTTTGTTACAAGTTTCTTTTTAATATATTTTGTATATTCCTTTCCAGTCCTTTTTTCATACACACATTTTGTTTGTTTTGTTTTTGTTAAACACATTTTATTTAACCATGCTGGTTATAACCGCTGAAAAATATTTCTGTTCTTCAATTCACCTAGCATAGGCCCTTTCCATGCCATTACTATAGATCCCCTGTCATTAAAAAAAAATAGACCTTTTACTTCATAAAACTTTTACATTTCCAGAAGAGCTGCAAAGACAGAAGAGAGTTGCTGACATACCCCTCATCCTTATTCTTTACAGAGCAGGATTTTAGCATTTTAGCTGAGATTTCTGAGCAGGATGGTGATACTCTTAGATTGATCTTTTTTTGGGAAAAGTTTCTAGAGGCCTTCTGCGGATTTGGCTGGACTTTATTGAATGTATACCATTTGTCACACCCTGGGATATGCACGGGATGGGCACAGTGATAAACAGGACACAGTATTGCCTTCTAGTTTCAGCTTATCAGACCAGTAGTAGAATTTATTATCAGATTTAACAATCTAATCATCTTTAAGTGTACAGTTCAGTAGTGTGAAGCAAATTCACGTTATGCAATTACTCTCTAGACCTCTTTCATCTTGTAAAATTAAACTTCTGTCCCCATTATATAATGCTTCCTCCTCCCCCACCCCAGCCCCAGTAGCCACTATTCTGCTTTCCATGTCTATGAATTTAACTACCCTAAGGAACCTGATAAGTGGAATCGTACAGTATTGTCCTTTTATGACTGAGTTTTCTTACTTGACAAGATTCATCCATGTTGTAGCATGTGTCAGCATGTTTAAGACTGAATAATATTCCATTGTGAGGATTGACCACATTTTGTTTATCCATGTATCTGTTGCAGGACACTTGGGTTGCTTCCACATTTTGGCTATTGTGAATAATGCTGCCATGACATGAACACAGGTGTACAAATATCCCTTTGTGTCCCTGCCTTTGATCCTATTGAGTATATACCCCCAAGCGGAGTTGCTGGAATCTGCGCAAGTGACGCAGGGTAGGGACATGGGACGAGCATCATGATTAACTTTTCCTGCCTGTGATGAAAAATGCTGAGATATAAATAGTGTGGTGAGAACAGGAGGACTACATCTTAAGGCTAAGGTTCCATTTTGAAAACCAGGGAGTTAGGAAGTAAGATTCCTAATATATGTTATGATAATTAGCCAATAACCGACCCTATCTTAAGGCAGGGCGAGCAGTTCTAAATGGTATGTTCCCAGTGCTTGAGGGTCACCACTATCTTGGAGACCAATAACATTGGACCACTAAATTCCTTGTGCTAAGTTTATCTTGCAGAGTATCTGGAGGACTGACTATGGGTGATATAAAATATCTCTCACTAGAGATCGATATCAGGAGACCACATGTCAAGACCATGCTCCCCTGGCCCTTTACCCCATTCTTGAAATCCCTAAAAGACATGAATCCTAAATCTTTAAGCGTGCCTCTTCTCTGAGGCTGCCTACAGTCTCCTTTCTTCAAGTGTGTACTTTGCCTTAAATAAAGCCTTCTTGCTGCTCAATTTACAGTGTTTTATCTCTATTCTCTTCCACGATTCTGTTTTCTTGGGAGACTAATAAGACACATCTTTTTCCAGTGGTAAGCATCTTTGTTTCTTTGCTATTTCATTCTGTGTTCTAGACTTAAGCAACATTTTCTCTCTGTGTTCTACTTCAGATAAGTAGGGAGGGGCTGTTGAGATCTCTGATTTGTGTCTGCAAGTCCCCCTCTCCTGCATACCCCAGACAGGACTGCGGCTGTGTATGATCATGCTCTTTTACAGCCTGCCCAAAAATCTATTTTCTTTGCCTGGGAAGTTCTCAGAACATATTATCACTCCATCCAGTGCTCTGAGGCTCCCCCAAATTCTGGGTGGTAGGGGTTTATTTCTCACACTGTGCAGACTCAAGTGGACACTGGATGCCAGGTGACTCTGGCTTTAGGAGCTGGCAAGAGAGCTTCCCTGTGCAGAGCAGGAGTTCAATGACCTTCCATGCCCTCCCTCAGCTCTTCCTTGCTCTCGGCTGCCTGCATGGCTGCTGCCATTCTCTCCTACTCTCGCTTTAATGAATTCCTCCCTTCCCTACACTGCTTGGATCCATTTGTGAATTCTTTCTCAATCGAATCAAGAACCCTTCTCAGTCCAGGATGAGGTTTCACCTGGTGCACATGGAGGGACACGCCCAGAAGCAGCTGCCTGGCAACAGAAATACTATTTTCATTTTTGGGGAAATTGCCATAGTGTTTTCCACAGCGGCTATACCATTTTAGGTTCCCATCAACAGTGCATAAGGGTTCTAATTTTTCCACAACTTTGCCAACATTTGTTATTTTCCTCCTGTCTCTCTTCCCTTCCTCCCTCCCTCTGTCTTTCTTTCCTTTTCTTGAAAGCAGGCATCTTAATGGATATGAGGTGGAGTCTCACTGTCATTTTCATTTGTATTTCCCTAATGATGCATGCGTTGAGCATCTTTTCATGTGTTAACTAGCTATTTGGGTATCTTCTTTGGGGAAATGTCTGAGTCCTGTGCCCATTTTTTAATAGTGTTTTTCTCCCATTCTGTGAGTTGATGGTATTCTCTGATGCACAAATGGCTTTTCATTTGATGCAGCTGAATTTATTTATTTTTACTTTTGTTGCTTGTGCTTTTGGTGTCATAGTCAATAAATCATCACCAAATCCAACATTATGAAGATATTCGCCTCTGAGTTCTTCCAAGGGTTTCATAGTTACAGGTTTTACTTTTAAGTCGTGATCCATTTTGCTTTAATTTTGTATATGGTGTGAAGTAAGGGTCCAGCTTCATTCTTTCACATGTGGACATCCAATTTCCCAGCACAACTTGGAACAACTATCCTTTCCCGTTGCATGGTCTCGTCAGCCTTGTTAAATCATTGATCATATATGTGAGGGTTTAATGTAATTTATTTTGAAATGACAAAAGTACATATTAAAAAACGTTCATATGTGTGTGTTTCTACCCCTTCCCCGCATCCCCCATTTAGGGAGTATCACGTTGTTTGCAGTCATTACCATCATTCTGGGATGCCTTAAAATTGGGTACTTCGTTGGATTTTCAGAATGTTTATCAGCCACTGAAGGAGTTTTTCCTGTTACACATGCGGTACATACTTTATTGCAGGTAAACCACATGGCATTTATGTATGTTCCTTGGCTGCTGTTACATGTATCCCAGGGGATTTAAAATGGAGTATGTGGAGGGCAGCGTAGGGTGAGCTCAAGTCTGTCTCTGAGGCTCAGTCCTTCAGCTGCCTGCACTGTAAGAGGGGACTCTGTGTGCCCTTGGCCACCTTTGTGGGGATCCCATGAGGCAGAACCTGTGATGATGAAACATCAGAAAATTCTGCCAAGCTGGAGTTCACCAGAAAAGTCTTGGGAGAATTTTAATAAAACAGTTTTATTGAGCTATATTCATAGGCTATACAATTCAGCCTTTTAAAGTGGACAATTCAGTGGTTTAGTGTGTTTACAGGGCTATGAATCCATCACCACAATCAGTCTTAGAATGTTTTCATCACCTCCAGAAGCCATTACAGTCACTCCACTGGGTCATCAAATCACTTTTTTGTTTGCTTACTTGTGGATTAAAATCTTTTGGAAATGTATTAGAGGTTCTTTCTCAGCCTTGTTAAACTTGGTCTGGCTGAGAAATAAGGATTTGACATACATAATTTTAAATATACAGCTTAGAATCAGAAAAATCTTGTGTTTAAAAAGAATCTTCGATGGATCTCCAGTGTGACTTTCCTCCTGAGATGGAATCCCTGGTAATGGTATCAGAGTCGGGATCCCTGTTACTCTAATGATCAAAGTAGTAGTTAATATTTCTGTAGAACTTGGAATATTCACAGTATTTTCCTTTATTACTTTGTGCAATGTTTGTAACAACTCCAGAAGCACAGGTGTTGGGTCACCATCATGGTCATTTCTAAGGAAGAAGTTGGAGATCAGAGAAGACAGATGGCTTGCCTGAAGTTACAGTCAGGACATAGTGGTCTTCTCCTCCATACAAGGCCATGAACTTGGTCCATGGACACTATTATTGTTCAAATATTTCTGGATTCCCAGTTCAAGAACATCCTTTAGGACCAATTTTCCACCCCCAGGATGCCAATGATGCCAATTTTGAACTCCATCTTTTGTCCAAGGTGGTCCCCAGTTTGTGCACCCAGGCAACTTGCCAGACAGCTCTTGATGATCTTAGGATGTTTCTTGAGATCAAACACATTCTCACCAGCGAAGCTCTTTGAAGCTTTTTGCCAAATGAGCCGGGCAGCTGGTTGGTTCTGTGGTAGCACGGTGGAAGGCCAGCAGCTTCCTGGGGGACTAGTTTGAAGGGGTCACCTTGCATTTGAGATTTGTTCTGGACTGAACTGTGCCCTCCCCGAATTCATG